ACACACCTAAATATATGCACACAAACACCCAAACATACACACGAACACCCAAACATACGCACAAACACACCAACATACGCACAAACACACCCAAACATACGCAAAACACACACCCAAACATACGCACAAACACACCCAAACATATGCACAAAACCCAAACATATGCACAAACACACCTAAATATATGCACAAACACACCCAAACATATGCACAAACACACCTAAATATATGCGCAAACACACTCAAACATATGCACAAACACACCTAAATATATGCACAAACACACCAAACATACACACAAACACACCCAAACATACGCACAAACACACCCAAACATACGCACAAACACACCCAAACATACGCACAAACACACCCAAACATATGCACAAACACACCCAAACATATGCACAAACACACCCAAACATACGCACAAACACACCCAAACATACACAACACACCCAAACATACACACAAACACACACAAACATACGCACAAACACACCAAATATATGCACAAACACATCCCACATATGCACAAACACACCCAAACATATGCACAAACACACCCAAACATACACACAAACACACCCAAACATACACAAACACACCCAAACATACCAAAACACCCCAAACATACACATAAACACACCCAAACATACATGTGCACACAAATACTCATATGTGTGCACACAGGTGTACACACAGGTGCCTGCCCCACACACATACAAGCAGCAACAAATATAAACACAGCCATCCTATATGCAGCCATATACACACCCAAACATACACAAACACACTCAAACACAAAAATACACTCAACATATGCACAAACACACCCAACATATGCACAAACACACCAAACATACATACAAACACACTCAAACATACATACACACACCCAAACATACATACAAACACCCCAAACATACAAACACACCCAAACATACATACAAACACACCCAAACATACATACAAACACACCCAAACATATGCACAAACACACCCAAACAAACATACACACACCCAAACATACAACCAAACACACCCAAACATACCACAAACAACCCACAACATATGCACAAACACACCCAAACATACGCACAAACACACCCAAACATACCCAAACATACGCACAAACACACCCAAACATATGCACAAACACACCCAAACATACGCATAAACACACCCAAACATACATACAACCCAACACCCAAGCATACATACAAACACCCAAACATACAGACAAACACCCAAACATACATACAAACACACCCAAACATACATACAAGCACACCCAAACATACAAACACACCCAAACATACATACAAACACACCCAAACATACATACAAACACACCCAAACATATGCACAAACACACCCAAACATATGCACAAACACACCCAAACATACATACAAACACACCCAAACATACATACAAACACACCCAAACATACGCACAAACACCCAAAATACGCACAAACACACCCAAATATGCACAAACACACCCAAATACACACAAACACACCCAAACATACCCAAACATACGCACAAACACACCCAAACATATGCACAAACACACCCAAACATATGCACAAACACACCCAAACATACAAACACACCCAAACATACATACAAACACACCCAAACATACGCACAAACACCCCAAACATACGCACAAACACACCCAAACATACGCACAACACACCCAAACATACGCACAAACACACAAAACATACGCACAAACCACTCAAACATCACAACATACGCACAAACACACCAAACATACGCACAAACAACACCCAAACATGCGCACAAACACACCCAAACATACGCACAAACACACCCAAACATACGCACAAACACACCCAAACATACGCACAAACACACCCAAACATACGCACAAACACACCCAAACATACGCAACAAACAACCCAAACATACGCACAAACACACCCAAACATACGCACAAACACACCCAAACATACGCACAAACACACCAAACATACGCACAAACACACCCAAACATTCGCACAAACACACCAAACATGCGCACAAACACACCCAAACATACGCACAAACACACCCAAACATACGCACACACCAACATACGCACAAACACACCCAAATACGCACAAACACACCAAACATACGCACAACACACCCAAACATATGCACAAACAACCCAAACATACGAACAAACACACCCAAACATACGCACAAACACACCCAAACATACACTCAGACATATGCATACAGACATAAGCACACCCACAAGCATACGCTCATACATACGCAAGCATACACACACAAGCATATGCACAAACACACACAAGCATATGCACAAACACACAAGCATATGCACAAACACACAAGCATATGCACAAACAACACACAAGCATATGCACAAACATACAAGCATACACACACACACAAGCTTATGCACAAACATACAAGCATACACAAAACACACAAGCTTATGCACAAACACACAAGCTACGCACAAACACACAAGCTTATGCACAAACATACAAGCTTATGCACAAACACACAAAGAGCTTACGCACAAACACACACAAGCATACTCACAAACACACAAGCATACTCACAAACACACAAACACACGCAAGCGTACGCACAAACACACACACACAAAACACAGCCACATACATGCACACAGCCACACATGCACACAGCCACATACGTGCACACAGCCACATACAGCACACAGCCACATACATGCACACAGCCACACATGCACACAGCCACTACGTGCACACAGCCACACATGCACACAGCCACATACGTGCACACAGCCACACATGCACACAGCCACATACATGCACACAGACCACACATGCACACACAGCCACACACATACAACAGCCACATACATGCACACACACACAATGCACACAGCCACACACACATACAAACAGCACACACAACAATACAAACAGCCACACAACATACAAACAGCCACACACATACAGCCACACACACAGCCACACACATACAGCCACACACACAGCACACACACACAGCCACACACACACAGCCACACACACACACACACACACACACACACACACACACACACACACACACACACACACACACACAGCCACACACACAGCTACACACACAGCCGCGCACACACAGCTACACAACACAGCCGCGCACACACACACACCACAGCAGCTGCACATACACACACACAGCTGCACATACACACACACAGCCACACGCACAACACACACAGCCACACACACACACAGCCACACACACACACACACAGCTGCACATACACAGAGCTGCCACACACACAGCTTGGCACACATACACACACACAGCTGCACACCCATAGCCGCACACACACACAGCTACACAGCCACACACACAGCAATACAGCCACGTTCACACAGGCCACACACACACAGTGCACACACACACCAGCTGCACACACAGCCAACACACAACACACAGTCCACACACACACAGCCACACTCACACACAGCCACACTCACACACATCTACACACTCACACGCAGCCACACTCACACAACAGCCACTCAACACAGCCACACTCACAACGCCACACTCACACGCAGCCACTCACACACAGCCACAATCACACACAGCCACACTCACACACAGCCAACTCACACACAGCCACTCACCACACAGCCGCACACCCACAGCAGCACACACCACACAGCTACACAGCACACAACACAGCTCACACGCCACACACACACACGCAGCCACATACATACAAAGCCACATACACACAGACACACATACACAACTACATACGCACACACAGTCACACACACAGTCACACACACAGTCCACAACAGCACACACACAGACACAACCTCACACGCATGCACAACCACACACGCATGCACAACCACACACGCATGCACAACCACACACGCATGCACACCAACACACACACACACACACACACACA